ACGTATCGATGCATAGATTTCGGGAGGATGTAATTCAATGTTTCTTTCGTGATCTACAATTGTTGTTCATTATCATATCATTTGTTCCTGTCCAATTATGTGAAATATTAGTGCTGTACCTCTGCTATATACTTTTACTGATTCTTGTATAATTGTTCAGGACTTCCATATATGATCTAGTTATTCTAGTTACCTGTTCTGACTCGTCCATTGTACTATTTGTAGTTTTGTATTATTTATAATTTAGTACTCTAGCATTCTTTATTACCTGTACTGTGCTGACTCGTCCATTCTATTGTATCGATAGTAAGAAGGATTCAATAAATACATTACATTACATTACATTTTATGAACATTCGTGGAAATGACTTACATCAGTAATAAAGTGATGGAGATGACTTTGAGCTTTCCTCTTCGTCCTTTTGATCTACCCATTTTTGTCTTCAATTCGATCCTCCTACAAACCTAATTTTGTAGATATATTCATATATCCAGATTAATTGATCGATACTTCATTCAAGTTCTTCAAATTCAAAATGACCAAACTACCTTTGGAGCCAACTTGAAAATAAATTTTTATAGATGAGTTATGTCATGGATCCTTTCTGAACTACTCCAAGAATAGAACTCTATGGGGCCTATAGTGCCAACAAAAAAACTCGTAATATTTTATCACCCACAAAACTTAAGGAAAGATGCCGACAATGATTTACATCCACAACATCCCTAACCATGGGATGTCTGAAATGTTTGACTAGTTTTGTTGGGAATCAGCAAGAGTGATTTATGTGTCCAACGTCTCTTATTTTCAACAATCGTTAGTAGATAGAATATGTAATTAGATCATGTTTCGCATGTGTGGAATTATCCATGGTTATATGAATCCAATGATTTTCCATTTTGCCAAGTATGAGAAGTTGAGCACAAAAAATGAATTATGAGTTGAATGACTCAATCTCAAAGGTAAATGAGCAAATATATAAATTTTCGAGTTAAACATGGTAATGTATTACATCCATATGATTTATATCAAATTACTCAGAGTAACGTCAAAGTGACGTTATTTTCTGGTCACAAAAGGTCACCCACACCACCATAATGACCAAAATGACGTCTCAGAATGCCTATATATAACTAAAAAAAAATCTTTGGATATATGAAGAGAAATCAATTTTTAAATCCGAATTGAATCCCCTGTATCTCGAAAACGAAGCATCTTTCTAATGTTCAAAGATACTTGATCTCTCATTTTTCTAGGAACTATCTGGATCCAAGAGATTTTGCGCATTTGCCCGGACACCCTGTATTTTTTTTTGTTCTGGTTCCCACGAAAAGGGATATCCTGTAATGTTCAGAGAACATCGTGAGAACCAAGGAAAATAGGGTAGGAATTGGTAATCGTTTCTAATTTCGATTCAATCATGAATATAATTAGCATTTGATGATGCCATGGAACAAATATATGTACAGGGTGGGCCGAATTGTACACTTTTGAACGGAGAGTCCTTTTCTCGAATCAAATGGAAGAAAACTGATGTCGGTGCCTGAGGACAAATTCTTATAAAAAACTGAATGGTGAAATCCGCATATCGATATATGTGTTTGTTTTGGAGTTACAAGGTGTTTTTCGAAAATGGGCATTCTCAATAGTATAGACAAAACAGCGTATGAGTACATCCACAAAAGCGCATCAGAGCAATGTTCATGTACAATACCGAAAATATATTTATTTGGATCATATACCATATTTTATCGCTCAGAGCGCACAAAGGGATATACCTATAATGCTCGAAGAAGATCGTGCCGTAGGATACGGAGAGGAGGTAGGTATAGGCATTTTTTTGAACTTTTTTAATTCCAGAGTTTTGCCTTTCTATAGACAAACGAGTTCTGAAAAAGTGTTTTTCGACATATTTCGAGGTAAACAAAAGGATGTGCTGACTGTGATTGTCCAGTCCCTCCGACTGGTATAACTGAAGATGAAATGATAGCAGAGATTTCCGAACAACATTTTAAGTGAAAGTATCTATAGAAAAGTTTAAGTTCGCCGACGTTTCCACGGTGTTTCAATGATATCAAAGAGTTAGTGAGCGTGGCATCACCCACCAGACGAATGGCTATTCTCTGGATGAAATCTAAGATCATCAACGTATGTTTGGGTGCTGAACCCCATATGTGGAAACAGTATTCTGGAACAGGCCGTATCTGTTCTCTGTAGATAATGAGAAGTAGCTTTCGCGATGGATCTAACATGATTATACCATGAAAGAGTATTGCTGATAGAAATACCGAGCATTGATATAGTGGAATTGGCGGGGATGGATCTCGGGATGGATAGTTGACATTCATTTGTAATCAACGACGTCAGGTAGGAAAGTTTTAAGTTAGTTATGTTTTATAAGCCAAGTATTCAACGTCACTCCAGCAATGGATTTAGTACGGTGCTAAATCGTCTGATTGATCGTAAACACTTATTTTCTGTTCTCCAAATTCAGTAAACCATAAACATGATACGAACAATTGATACTTGCTCCCAAGCCTACAATAATTCTGATTAAAGTTCACTTTCTAGGATCCCATAAGATCGGAAAGAAACACAAGTGCCATATATGTGTGAATAGATTTAATGTCTGCACTCACAAATATCGCATTTCCTACACATTCAAAATGTTCTGGTCAATAGATTCAGCTCAGATAAAGATATATCTAGATACTCGGATGTTATAATGTCAAACAAAATGGGACACGTTAATTCACATGCCAATGTTCTTCATGAAAAATCCAACTTTCTAGATCTGCCGTGTTGTTGCAGTTAATTTACATACCCACCTACAAGTTTACATGACTGTAAACGATAGAATATGGTTGGTCTGTCAACGCACGCTGGATAGCGAGCTAATTATTCAGTTTCATTGGGTAGTTAGTGTTCTCACGAGATAATCAGGTGATGCTGAGAAGATTGACGATCATGATGAAAATTAATCCTATTAATTTCACTGCATCTCCGCTATTTCTGAATAAGCTGATGAGGATAATATTTCTATCGACATTCTACATCAACGTATATAACATGATTAATTTCTACAAATTGATATCAGCATAATTTTCATCAATTCATTCCAATGGAGAGTTACATATTCTACATAGTCTTCTTTCATCGCCATATACAGTGTGACCCACTTCTAATGGAAACCTTCCTGTATCTTACGTAATCGTTGGTTGAGGATCATGAAATTTGCTGGAGCCAAAAATGCAATGACCAAGTGGGGTTTTCTTCAGTGATATACACTGCTCGCCAACAGCCTTGGAACCACCCCAATTTCCGGAAAATGATATTAGGAGTCAAAATAGGTCGAAAATCACTTCATATTCGGAATCAGGACGCCCAATTCACTAACATTAACAATGTATCCTTTGAGAAGGAAGCAAGTGAATTAATTAATTTTCTTTTTTGATTGTTTCTAATTTAATTAATGCTAGTGAAATTTTGATGAGCTCAGTTGCATTTAGGGAAGAATCAACTGATTTGTTCTGCCTTCATGCATTGCATAGTTTCACACAATAGAAGACACTCAAATAGGGAGAAAGTTTCCATGAACATAGGTCGGCAAGGCCTTCGGCAGGATATACGGGGTGTTGCGTACCATCAGGACTAAATCTGCTCCAAACGATATAACGTATTTTAAAACGAAGACAGAAATGGAAGAAACTCAAAAGTATCGTCAGACACTAAAGGGTTAAACCGAAGGCCTTTTTTCTATGTCACCCTGTATAGACATGATGTAGACAAATCCTAAAGGCATCAGAAGAATGAATAAATATCGTCTCACGTTCCAGTTGCATCCTGTTAAACGTGTCATATTTATCGTTGAATTACCTCATTTCATCTAATTTACGCATCGTAACTGGTCAGTATCTTTCTATAATATCGGTAAAATATATAAAATGCTTAATGAATCGATTCAAATATACTGAACATACTTGTTTTTATATGTAGCTATCAGGTTTTATAGGTTCATCGATTGAAATTTATTGCTAGACTATCTTCATCATCAGTTTTTATTGCAATTGATATGAGTAAATTGAAACATCAATGATTATATCTGTGGTAGAATACTCATTGGGGATGAAATAATGATCATTCACGGTCTTGACAGGGCAATCAATATATACATTGATGTAACCCAATTCCATAATGTATATTGTATATCGTGGAAAGTCGCCAATTCTTCATTTTCAGATTTTTAAGTGGAGTAGTGTATTACTTTTCGGAAATACTAACGTTCTTTCAATATTTTTCTCCGATATTCACGAAATACTTTTGAATAAATTAGTGTAAATTCCCAAACAAATTTACATCCTACTTATTTACCTGTATGTTCCAGAGTCACTTTCAAGACACAATAATTGTGAATCGGTCATCAATACAGTGTGTGTCATGATGATCAATGTTAGCTTGATATCAAACTGAGAAATAAATCACACTTCAAATGCAAAAAATCGTTGAAAATCAACAAACGGAAAAGATAACCGATGCGCTGAAAGATGGAATAATTTTATTTTCTACTAATTTACAATTTATGTATTATCTGAATTATTTCTGGAATTTTTACATTCCAAACGTAAGAGCATAGCGTTGATCATGTATTCTAGAGGTTCTAGAGGTTTGAAAAATGTACAGCAGATTTTCACTCCCTAACACCTTCCCTATCACATCACCAAAGGAATGTATCGAATTACCTGTAACCCTGTATACCGGGGAAAAGAGTACTCACTCACACTAGTGGAGAAAAAGTGATTTATGCATAACCTGTCAACAGAAATGAATTGTCAAACTTCTTTCCCGTTAAAGAATACAAATTCTATTTGTATTCCACTGCTCTGTGCTGGAGCCGCACTGAATGGAAGAACCAAGCAACTGCCACTTGTACTTGCTCTATGCTAGTAAGCTTTGTGAACAGGCGATTAAAAAACGCTATAGCTTACTCTGTTTCTTGCAGAATGTACGTGCATCAGACCCCACGTCACCATCCGGCTGGCCGCTATGCGTCGGCCCAGCCGGCATAGCCGTCCACCTGGGTGCCCTAGACGCGTCCCTGGTCCGCAACCGAGACTGCTACCTCTGCGTGCGCAGTCGCAGCCAGCCTGGCCTCGAAGTGGCCCTGATCTGGCGGCAGCAGCACAAGATTCACTGCCACACCGTGGCAGAGTTCCGCAACCCGCTTCACTCCCTAGATGAGATCATGTGTTCGAGCCTGAGGTCCGCTTCGGATCTGGAGATCACCTCCTACGACGACTACGATGGCTCGCAGCTTCCAGAGATGCTGCAGCACCTGCTGGTTTCCGTCGAGCACGCCATAGAAAGAGTGCCTCTGGACGATTTGACGTTTCCTTGTCCGCAGTGCCTACAGTACTTGAGGCTGGACAGGTCGGAGGATGAGGTAGTGTCTTGCGCGTGCCAGTGCTCGTGCAGACTGTCTGAGGGTCCTGTAGATAAGAAGGATTCCTCGATGCAGACCAGTCCGATGTTCGAGTTCGTCGGGTCCATTCCTCATATCGATAGTGATGAAGATGATGACAAGGAGTCGATCAGATCAGGTAAGAATCATAATCCTCCAACTCGTTGATGTATTTCATAGACTTCGATGTCCCTACTTTGAATGACCCAGGCAGCGATACTGATGAAAATGAAGTCTATAGGACTGCTAATTTTGGTCATTTATGGTCCCATTGGTCACTTGTCCAAATCATGACGTCACAAGGACGTCGTCTTTCCAACGTCACATGGACGGTAACTTTCGGACGTCTTACGGACGTCAATATCTGGACTTCAAACACTTATTGATCTCGTACAGAGTCTTGGTAATCTGTACCTCGTTACACTGTTGCCGTTTCTACAATGTATACTTCTTTCTATTACTATGTTGATTGATAAAAAGTAAGATTCAAGATTGATAATCACACCATAGATTCTGACAGAATGAAGCAGATGGCAAAAGTCTAGGAAAGGATTCGATACATGTCATCAGCAATGACACCAACTGTCAATGTCTGCTCATTTCTAGGTAGTGACGATATTTGTTCGCCTCAATGTTGTATTTTGCGATGTATAGCCACAAAAAAACTGTATTGTGGCTATAATGAATTCAATTTCCCTTCGCATGGAATACCTATATCAATGATAGTTATATATGTCATGCAGATGACAGATGATCCTCATATTCAATACCGTCGTCACACGAAAGCACGATGAAACATTTTAATTTCATTACATTCTCACCAATGAAGTGAAGAACAACAGTTATTTGAAATCAGAAACCTTCAATATCATTTATATTTTCTAGTTCATCTATGTTTGTTCGAAATCTGGCAACACGGTGGGTCATCGCGCCCTCTCTGATAAAATGTTGTTTGTTTTGTTGTTTCTTTGTGCGGTTCGATGTTTGATTGACGGGATGGTTTCTCATTCAATATTATGTTCTGGTGTTTTGTTTTGATACACTAATTTTTGATATTTTTGGCGATGTTTTCTGTCATCCAACTCGATGATAGTGGAACAGTGGCTGTTGTTCAGGAATCAATAGTGGTTGACTCTTCTCATGACAGTAGACAGAAGTATTTTGGCCGCCATTTGAAGGAAAGTCGGAACTAAAAACGTGTCTTGTGTGACGGTGAACCCATCAATATCTTCATGAAATCATCGAACATTTCTTGTTATCACATCGAGTGCTTTGGTAAAATAAAGTTAGCTTTGTTAATTCCAAATTTATTCTTGAAAATAGAAATACTGATTTGTTTCAAATGGTCCGGAGATGAGTGGGCTATTAGAGCTCTGAATGATTATTGTTATTTCTAGAATGTTTGAATATATCATTCCAAGAAGACTGAGTTTCCTCTTATTACATATTGTTCCTCAATCAAGAGATGATTAGTACAAACCTCAAAACGAGAAGTTTGGGCATATTTTTCGAAGAAAAGACGTCGCTATGACGTCCAAAGCTAGTCAACAACATCAGTTTCAAGTCATAAACACCTAATTGACGTCCAAAAGACCCAGGAAGTCACGTTATTCAGCTGTGATCTTCTACATCCTGGTTTCTTACCAATAGTACCAATATCACCAGCACCATACAGGTATATTCATATTTGATTCCGAACAAACCATCTGTTCTTCATAAATGATCAATCCAAATAAATATTGAATTTCATGATTTAGTCAATGAGACGATGGGAGAGAATTCAAGAGTTGCAACAATATCCTTCTCGAATCAAAACACATGGCTATGGATTATCGCAGTCTAGCATTATGCCTCAATTTTCTACAGGAGCTGAGTTGCAGCGCAAACAAAGCCATTCAATTCAATATCAGTTGGCTTAAGCGTGCTGCCAATCTTCAATGTTGACTATGCAAATTAATAAACGGATGTCACTATAATGTAGTGTTTCGTGTGGGTTGCTGCTTATGTATGTACCTGAGGGTCACATCGATCATTCTCCCTGTGCTGCATATTAGTATTTGCATTTTGTGAAATCAGCGTAATTTGTGGCGTTCAGGTGAGGGAAAAAGTAGAAAACATGCAAATTTAACTTTCATTTGAAATTTTTAATCTGTTATTTGATGTAGTTGTGTTACTTATATAAGTGTTGTGTGTCTGTGTGAGTGTGAAGTTGCATTTCGTTAAAATGGTATTTCAGTTCCGTATACATTGCTGCTTGGTTTTTAAAAATCGATCCACTCGTTTAGAAAACATAAAACTCAGCAGAACCAACAATACGTTTGACAAAAATGAATCACTCTGATAAAGTCCTTTGCTGTGTTTGCTGCTTTATAGATTCTCAAAACTCGTTTTTGTTAGTGAGCAATTATCCCGTTTTGCTCCACATATTGATCTTCTATCTTGTGTCTTTGGTTTTGCATCACATATTGATTTTGTATCTTGTGGATGAAGTGTTACAACAATGTGGACTCTTCAAAGCAGAATTAAATATATTTCCGATTTTTGGTCAAACAAATTGTTGTAATTTCTCCATATTTTTCAACCGACTCAACCTATTTTCAGAAACCAAGCAGCAATATATTATTGAAGACATTTTGTTGATGCGGTATCACCTGACTCCAATTCTTATTTGAAGGGAATTGGTTGATGACAACACCACTCAGGAGATTGAGGAATTTGCTATGCTTGTTGTGTCGGAAGTTGTCCTCCTGGAAAGCAGAGATGATGTGTCTTTGGATTTTGTATCAAAGTTTTTTCCCAGCCTTTATTCCCTTGTAATACGTTCTTCCAACTAAGTTTTTTCTGAAATCATCATCATTATTGGAAATTTTCTTGAGAAATTGTTTCCTTTGTTGCTATCACATCTATAAATCATCGTTTTGTTCTTCGGGATGACGTTTTATATCTGCTATCAGAATTGGAAAAAAAATCTTATCGATTCACGGTTTTTGTCGTTATTTTCTTCAAAGATTATGCACTCTAGAGAAATGAAAGGATTGAACATTTTTAGTTCAAAAATAATAGTTAGGAACTGGAGAGAATGTCAAGAGATAATGATTTTCCACCAGATATGAGGTCATGCTAAAAAATACGAATGGAGGCAATAATGGAATTGATGAACATGATAAACGTTATTCCTTTCCATATATATCCGACTCCATCCGAAGTTCAGTACTTCTTGGGAAAAGATTCACCTCTTTTCATATAACACGAACGATGAACGATTGCATTTTCATTAAATTGGGAAGATGTCTGCATGTTTAGATGGTTATTCGATTTCAACCGTTTCTGATGAGTGTTTTCATATTGAAATAATCAAAATTTGTTGGACGAAAAATTCATCAAGTGGCAAGAAATAAGATATCAACATAGCACAGAGAAGATACTATCATATGACTAATGAGATAGGTACCCATTCATTCAATAATCAGAGACTCTATTCTTTATTCCGTAAGAAGAGCTACACTCCGTTACCGACTTCATTCAATGATGGTATTATATTTCATATTGAAAAATGAATATCAATATAACTTCCAATGATGAATTTGTCATGAATCCGATCTTCCACCAAGTTTTATTCAAATATAGATAGTGCTTGGGAATCAATAATATACCATCATTATGATCAAAATTTATTGGCTCGATATTGACCTGAGTTAGAAGCAGAATTGGTTCGAATTGGTGAACTAACTACTATCAATCGAATAATTATATCATCAGTCATCAGCATCATTGACAGATTGATAGATCACATTCGACCGGAGTCCTATAACTCTTAAATCCAATCTATCATAAAACAACAATCACCTCAATTATTCTTATTCTTGACTAAACATTCAATCTGACTGACGAGCCTTCAGTACTTTATTTTTGTGTGGCCTCTTTGTTTCCTAGTATGACTATGGAACCACCAATTTTGTGTGGAAATATCTTTCCTAAGACTATGCAATATTCTGAAATGATATCCAAAGTAAACCAATTGTCACCAGCGGCGAGTAAATCGTCTAGAACTTGAAATTGCGATGTATCTCAGTAGTACACCCGTTATTCGAAGCATCAACTCACCATAATTGTTACATGGTGCCCAATGCCCCTTCATTTATTCATTCATTCAACTTAGATGACCAGAATAGATGAACCGCGCATTCAATCGCATCCGTGAGCAGAACCATTCGACCAATTCCACACAGAAAATAATTCAATCAATATTCTCACACTCCAAGTCCTTATAGAACCTAGTATTATAATCAAATGACCTATTGAGCTGAACTTTACACTGATTTGAAAACATCGTATCCTAGATATCCATGTTCGTGAAGATTACAGGTTCAGTATTAAAAGTCATCGATCATGGAATAAAAAATTCTTTTTTCTGTGACGGGAAAAAAGTTTGGCATTTCATCGCTGTTGGCAGGTTATAAAATGTCACTTTTCATAAAGTACTTTTTTCCCGTGGGAAAAAAGTGAGTACTTCTTTCCCGGATATATATCACATATATATACTCTGTTAATGGCTTTTGTTGTGCTATAGTTCCGAAAAATGAGTCAATAATACCGTCTCCGAGAAAGAACTGCAAGTCCTTTTATCTTCCATTCGACTTCGCGGTTTCGTATATTACTAAACAACTACTGAATTCGCAATTTTTCAAAATCGAATCACAGAATTGAACTGACAGAAGTGACATCAGATATTTGATTACTTCAAAAGAATGATAAAGATGTCTATAAAACGCAGGTGTCCCTACTGTTAAAAACTTGAAATTTCACGTCGATAATTTTCAGATTTCGAAATAATGTAATATCTTCTCAATATTGATTCGTCCTTCCTTCTGTCACAGAAAAAAATAGTGTATTATACACGGGAAAAATATTAGATTTTAGCTCACGGTTTTTTGTCTCCCTCCGCTACGCGTCGGGAGACAACACAACCTGGAGCTAAAATCTACTACTTTTTTCCCTTGTATAATAAATAACTATTTCAACTTTCGAGGAAATTGTTTTTGATCCAAACAGCCTTACTGTCACAAAGCGGAACAATTTTCAAATAATCAAATCAGCCTGTGGTCAACTTTCCAAAAATATTGTTTTCATTGACAAAAC